CAAAGCAAAAAGTTCCAATTGCCCATCCTCTCTAGGTTAAGGACCTTCCGAGGGTTTGCTGTGGTTGCTCATCGGGTCCTTGATGGCCTTCAGTCTCTTTGCTTGCTCCTCTTAATATTCTCTCTCACCCACTGTTTCAGCCACACCAGCCTCCTTGCTCCTTCAGCACATACCAAGCTTGTGGAGGCCTCAGGGCCTTAGTACCTGCTGGTCCCTCTGCCTACAGTGCTCTTCCCACACATGACCATCTAGCTGCCTCCTCATCCTTCAGGCCTCGCCTTTTTTCCTGTCCCTTCCCACAAGAGTACAGGCTTCCCAACACCACCCAACACAAGCAGTGATGGGAAGGTGATAAAGCCAAAAACAGGGCAAATGGGGACACCAGCATGTAGCTGGCAGACAAAAATCCCTTTTTAGATAATCATGGAACCTTGGACCAAAACATGGCTTCAGGAGCCCAAAGGGAGCTGAATGCTAGCCACTTTGGGACATATGATAGCATCATACTAACAAAGACAGTCCAGACTGAGGGAGGAGAGAGACTTCTTTACATTCCTCTGACAGGAGCCACTGTGAGTCTGAGGTGGCCTATTAGAAAGGGACCAAAGAGGACCCAGAGAAGGCCTGAAGGCAGCAGAACAACTTCTCAGGCACGACACTTGCCACCAAACGACCCAATTCAGTCCCTGGGACCCACATGGTAGAAGAAAGAAACTGACTCCTACACACACACACACACACACACACACACACACACACACACACACACACACGAGAGAGAGAGAGAGAGAGACAGAGACAGAGAGAGACCGACAGACAGACAGAGCTCACTACAAATAAAGTAAAAATGCTATAAGTAGGCTGAGGAGAGGAAGGGTGGGTACATATGGAAGGGAGATTCCTGTCCATGAATTACCCAAGTAGGACATTCAGAGACAGTTTCTTACTTATATTCTAATGGTTTATTTTGTAATGCTGGGGATGTTAACCAGGACTTCACACCTGCTTAGACAAGAGTGCGACCTTGGCCCGGATCTCCAGATACCACTCAGCCTTTCTTTTCATTTTTTTCAAACTTTTATTTATTCTCATGGGTGTGTGTGGATATGAGTACACGAGTGCATGTATAGAGATCAGAGGACAACATCTAAGAGTTGGTTCTCCCCTTCCACCGTATAGATTCTGGAGATCAACCTCAGGTCATCAGGCTTGGCAACAAGGGCCTTTACCCAATGGCTTACCATTCTGTTGGCAAGCCTTCCTCTTTACTTAACCCATAGCACCCTTGGCTCTTGGCTTCCCACCTACTCCCTGCCCTATCTTCCTGCCAGCTCCCATCCTGTTCCTCCAAAGCCTGCCCTTTGTCACTCCTCCACCAGCTTGGTATCCAAAAGTATAACAAGAGGTAGATACTAGAACCAGATTGCTGAGTTGACTGTAGCCCTGCTCCCCTTATGCCAGGCACACACTTCAATGGCTGCTCCAGGCCAACTAGTTCATCCAAACCTCCATCACCTGAACCAGATCAGTCACCTCTGTTCTGGTCTCCTAGCTCCTGCCCTCAAGCACCATACACACCCGGCGGTTTGTTCTTTGGGGTCAGAACAGCCTCTAAATTCCCTGTTGTGACCTAGCCATCCTGCTATCTCTAGACCTCAAGGTCTGTTTGTTTTTAAATTGAAAGGGAGAGGGAGAGCCCTGAGAACATGAATGCAATGCCTGAAGAGGGCAGAAGAGGGCATCGAATTCCCTGGAGCTAGAGTTTCATCAGGTGGTTGTAATCCACCTGATGGGAGTGCTGGGATCGGAACTCAGGTCCTCTGCAAGCAAGAACAAGTGCTCTTACCATTGACAAACCTCTGCAGCCCCCAAGGATCTCCATGTTCTTTCATACCTCGCTAATTATTCCTCCAAGCACCCACCAGTGTGCTTAGAGCCTTGAGCCTGCTGATCCCTTGGTTTGCAACACTATTCCTCTGCCCAAAAGAACAGGGCTATTCATCCTTAGCTGAATCATGGTCATCCACCCAGGACTGCCTTCTCTGACTCTCCCAGGGCCAAGCCATGTTAATTCAGTTCTGCCCTGAGGCATGAACTCTGCACTGTAACGGACTGATTTGGGCACTAATTACTTTCCAGGCTTTGTCCTCAGTTCTTTAACAATGTTTGAATGGTATCATTCCCATTTTACAGCTGGGAAAAAAAGAAGTAAACCCACTAGCCTGAGGGCTGAAGCACTCAAACAGGAGGTAGATGCAAGTCCAGCCGGTAGAACAGGCAGCCTGGGGCACCCAGATCACAGGCAGCATCCCAACTGCAATGATTTATTGTGTCATCTCAGAAGTGGGAGGATGAGACCTTTACTCACTCTCCTTGTCATCTTTAGTAAGCCCAGAGGCTCCTTCGCCAAATGTTCACTTGTTCCCAGGCTCTATGCCAACTAAATGCTTCCCCTGCCCCCACAGCCAATGGCCTTGGGTTTGGAGGTGGATATTGTTCTGCTTATCTCAGAGTGGAGCCCAGACCCTCAGGAGTGTAAAGGGCACTGAGATTTGTCAAGCACTATCCTCAGCTGAGGACTCATTAACACGCTCAGAGAAAGATACTACAGACCCATTTTCCAGATGGGAAAACAGAAACTCAGAAGCCTTTCCTGGAGCCATGAGCTTCCAGCTTTTATCTATTGCCTATTTTCTCCTTGACTCCTGGAAACAATCCCCTTTGGAAGTGAGTGAGGTGAGATGGGAGTCAAAGAAGATCCCCAATATTCCCTGCATCCTGGCTGGACTTCAGGGAAAGCCACAGACAGGCTGAGTAATGTTCTGAGAACTCCACCCAAACAGCAGCTATGGCTGGGAGGGGGCTGTAAAGGCTATGGGGCTTCCAAGGCAACTTCATAGTCTAGGATTCCTCTCCTGGGGGCCTCCATCCAAACAAAGGGTCCAGGCCAACCAAGGAAGGCCACACTGGTGCCTAGGACCATGGCTGGGCTCACACTGCAGTCTTGTAGAGCCCTATCTTTCCATACCCCAGGCAGCTCATAGGTTTTTCAAACCAGGCTGGATCCTAACAGCTTTCTTTTACCTCCACACTCTTCAAGGCTCCCGTCCCAGAAATAAAGCGCTTCTCCATGGCCGGACCTATGGTTCATTTGTCATCCCAGCTACCTGACAAACTGAGATAGGAGGACTGAAAGGCCAAGGCCTGCCAGGCTTACAGAATGAGTTCAAGGCTAACATGAACAAGTTAGTTAGACTCTTATCTCAAAATAAAACATAAGGATGAAGCCACTGGCAGTGGGTCCCAGCCCTAACACTAATGTACAAACTGACTTAGTGGAGCCCATTCTGTATGGAGAGATTCCCTTGCTCAGCCTAGTCATGGGGGGGGGGGTGCCTTGGTCCTGCCTCAATGAGATGATGGGACAGACTTGGTAGACTTTCTCTATGGGAGGCCTAATCCTCTCTGAGAAGCAGATGGGAGGAGGGGGTACTGGAGGGAGGGGGAGGAAAGGGGAACTGGGATTTGAATGTAAAAAATAAACTAATAAAAAAATTAAACCACAAAAAATTAATAAATAAATACAACATAAGGGCTAGATGGATGATAGTAAAGAGCTTGCTGTGCGAGCATGAGAATCTGAGTTCAGATCCCCAGCACCCATGTAAAAAAAAAAAAAACTGGGCATTGTGATATGTGCCTGTAACTCCAGGGGAGTGGGGGTGGGGATGGGGGAGGCAGGTGGCTTGTTTTGCCAGAAGAGCAAGCTCCTGGTTCAGTAAGGGACCCTGTCTCAGAAATAAGGTGGAGAGTGATTGAAGAACACATATGAAATCAACCTCTGGCCTCCACACAATTGAGCTTATACACATGCATGAACACACATGTCCATGCACAATACACCACATGTGTATGAGCACACATACATAAAGGAAGGGAGCAACCCAAGTGTTTCAGTGATGGAGTGCTCCCCTAGCATGAGGCCCTAGACTCAACTTAGCCCTAAGGAAAAAATAATAAGGCTCCTTCCATACCCCAGAAGCCCAGATCTGTTTCCACACAGGCCTTCCCTCATGCCCCACTCCCAAACATGCGTGAAACACAATTCTTCTGAGAGTAAATAAGAATTTCTAACTTCTTATCACTTTACACACCTTCCATCAGCGGTCCAGCCAGCTATGTCTGCCCGGGTGTCTTTTCAACTTTCCCCCACTTACTGGCTGCAGAATCTTCCTCTCAAGACACAAGCAGATGGCTGTTACATGCTAGCTTAAGCATCCCTCGTACCTACAGCCCTGAGAATGGAATTGTGGGCTCCTCATTATCTTCCAAGCCCTTATCAACCACTCCCTACCTTCTTCCCGGCACACACTTCGGATATATCACCCTCTTTTCTGGTCTGCAAACACACCAACCTGGGCCTTTCCCCAGGATTTTGTTGCCTGGGCCCAGAAAGCTCTCCATAGCAGGTGCCATCACGACAGGTTGTCCCTGTCCCTCAGACACCCTGGGCTCCCTCCCAACACTCTAGTCTCCTATCACCAGTATTCGGATGTGTGCATTACACGCTGGCACCAGCTGCTAAGGACTTTGTTTCTTAGAGGCCAGTCTACGCGGCTCCCAGAAAGGGCCCTCGGCCATCGCCTGTCTGTGGCACCCAGCAGGCGCTCCGCACCAATTTCTCTGGTGACAGACACTCCTGTGACGCAGTGCCCGTTCATACATCCGGATTCCCCGCGTCACGGAGCCACGATAACCCCCATTCGCTCCAAGGCGTCCACATTCGCCCTCGGGAGGCCCAGAGCTCTCTGGAGAAGGAAGCCGGAGCCCCGACCAGCTGGGAAACCCTGAGAAAAATCCTTGTGGGAGGAATGATGGGGAGCTCATTGACCCTATTTTGGGGCCAAGCCCAGTTAGTCTTGGCCCGGGAGATGAAACTGGAGATCGTTGCGAGGGTTGCTTCTAGGGCGGCGCCCCCCCAGAGAGGGGCACTCGCTTACCTGGGAGTGCAGGCCCAGGCCGGTGGAGATCAGCAAACCCGAAGATGCAGCACACACGCGGCTGATTGCTCTGGACGGAGGGACTGTGCTCTGCACAGGGCCTCCACCCACGGGGGAGGAAATAGAGCCGGAGGGGGCCTCAGGGAGGAGTTTGATGGGGGCTTGGGCGTGGTCTGCGCGGGGGAGGGGGCGTGGCCTTAGTGAGCTCAAAACCGCTCGGTTTTAGACCCCTGAAACCTAAACTGCCCAACCCGCGTCCTGGCCTCGCCCCCACGCCACCAGGCCCCTCCCTAGATCCCGCCCCACTCTCCTCGGCCGCCGCCAGACCCCGCCCTCAGCCCCTAGCCCTGCAACATGAGACCCCGCCTCCAGACAACACTGTCTTGAGAAGCCAGACTCCGCCCTCAGCCCCTAGCCCTGCAACATGAGACCCCGCCTCCAGACAACATTGTCTTGAGAAGCCAGACTCCGCCCCAGTCATTGAGCGGCTGTCCTCAGCCCCCACCCCGGAGCCGCCAAGACCCACCCCCAACTCCACTCAGACCTCTACCCTTGCTCTGCCTACCCTCGTTCTGAACCCTGCTTTCAGGATCTTCCTCTCACTTTCTAAGCCTGGTCCCTCCCCACTCCCACCCCGCCCCCCAGCCCCTGCCCCAGCCCAGTTTTTTCGGGCCCCGCCCCCAGCTCCCGCCCTTCTGGGCACCTGGCCTTACTCCAGTCAAGCTATTGGTTTCTGTGGCACCACATCTCTGACCTTTTAACCCAGCAGCACCTGCTGGGCGCTCTCTTGAGCTACTGTTTCTTCTGGTCCACTTCTGATTTCTGATTTCCAGTCCTAGATCTCTTCTTTGTGATGCTCTAGCTTGCTCTTCTGCCTGCACAGTTTTGCAGTTGCACTGCCAGGTTATGCAAAAGGATCCTTCCACAGGCCTCAGCACCCCAATACCTGAGTTGGAGTCGGTCAAACCAACCTAGAGGATCATGGGACCTAGGCATACTGAGAGACTCACCGCAGGATTAAGGGGCAGAAGGGGAATGGCATGAATATGTCAGCTGTAGTTTTGTGAGGTCAAGAGTCAGACAAGATGTAGGCGATGAAGCTGAGATACAGGTCAGTGTGGGTGACAGTTGTTGCCACTGTTTAACCCAGGGCAATGCAGGAGAAGATTTGGCCTCTCTTTGCCTAGTGCAACCAAGGAAAAACAATTCTAGGACAAGCAGTTGCCAGTAGAAGGGAAGAGGTTTCTAACAGCTTTGAAGATGTCATCTTTGACGACGTCAAACCCACCGGGGAGGACTGGGGTTGGAAGTATAGCTCAGTTGTCTAGCTTACAGGAATCCCTGGCTTTGATCCCCAGTACCACATGAACCAAAAGCGATAAAATGGACTTCAGATCCCAGCACTCAAGAAGCCATGGAAACTAATCTGAACTACAGGAAACCCTGACTCAAAAATAAAAATAAAATAAAAGCTAGTTCTCTGTGGGTCCCAGGGCAGGTCTTCCTGGGCAAGGGAACCTGTCACTGGGAGTCTAGTTTTCAGGCCCCTCCTCAGAGCATTCCCATCCTTGAATGTACCAACCACTATACACACGCATACACTAATTTCTCCCTGAGCCTCAAACTCAGCAACCCTCCTACCTGTCCCCTCTGAAGTTTGTGTTGCCTGTGTGGCAGAAAGAAGTCACAGAGGGTATTCCCACGCACTCAAAACATGACAGCCACTTATATTGATAGTAACGTGGGAGTCCAAACCAGAGGTCCACAGAGAAGTGTAGGATTTGTGTGGGCCAGGGCCAGGGCCAGGGAGACTTCTTCAATAGAAATGACAGACAAAATAGGACTGCTGGAGAAGGATGGAGTGATCAGCCTTTCGTTTGCATTTCTAGGCCTGATCCACAACCTGAGAACAGTTAGGTGTCCTTGAAGCGGCTACTCCTGCCTGTGGGGCTGAGTGAAAGGAAGAACTAAAATGAGCATCAGGGCTGGCAAGATGGCTCAGCAGGTAAAGATGTCTGCCACCAAGCCTGGCAACCTGAGTTCAATCTCCAGGGCCTCCCTTGTGGAATAAGAGAGCCAACTCCTACAAGTTTTCTTTTGACTTCCATCTGTGTAGTCACACATATGCATGTGTGCACAAAATAAATAAATTTAAATGTAATTAAAAGTAGTATCAGGGATGGCAGTGTAGGGTCTACCACAAAAGTGTCCCAGGGCTCTCTGGGTGAAGGTGGAGCTGGGTTGCCTGGGAGGAACAATGTGAAAGTATGGAAGATATGGGTGACTGTCAGTATGGAAGGCCTGACCCAGGAGTACACTTGAAAGATTTAGAAACAAAATGGACAGGATATAGAGGAACAGAAGAAGCCAAGGCCTGGCTGGCCTGAGAGAATAGGACAGTTCTAAACTCCTGAATACAATGTGTATTGTAGGAAGGGGAACCCTAAGAACACTGGGGGATTGAGGCTCCACAGTTTCTCTTCTTACAGACTTTCTGTCTGTAAGACCTTGACTTTCTGATCCAAATGCCTAAACTCTGTGTTTATAGAATTATAGGTATGAGCCACCTTATGAGGTGTTTTAGTGTGTGTGTGTGTGTGTGTGTGTGTGTGTGTGTTTGTGTGTGTTATAGTGTATATGTGTTATAGTGTGTGTGTTTTTCAAGTGTGTGTTTTGTGTGAGTGTGTGTGTGTGTGTGTGTCTTTTAGTGTTTCCTAGTACTTTTTACACAGTTGGAAAGCACTCTTCCACTGAGCTATATCCCATTACTGCCCCCCCACCCCAACACTCACAGACCAACATTCACACCCTGTATGCTCTTCCCATCCATTCTAGGCTCATCTGATTAAGAGGGCTGATAAGCACAGGACACAGGAAGCAATGCTGTGCTGCTTCCTCTTCCCCTCTACCTTAATTTCTTTTCTGATGTTTCACTTAAACAATTTAGGAAGGAAGGGTTGATTTAGGCTCACAGTTCTAAGATATACAGTCTATCGTTGAGGAGAAGTCACAGTGGCAGGAGATTGGGGCATCTGGTCACATTCCATCTGCAGCCAAGAAACAGCCTATGGATGCTGATGGTTAGCTCACTGTCCCCTTTTTATACACTGTAGGATCCCGAGCCAGGGAGCAACACCACAGCAGTGGACAGGTCTTCCCTCTTCCAGCTATAGAAGACACTCAGATAAGCATATCCACAGCTTTCTCCCCGGTGAATCTAGATTTCATCAAATTGATAATTGAGATTGATCATTACAGCATCCAACTAAGGGACTGAAGCAGACACCTATATTGATCTTCTCCAGCCCCTAGATTCACTGTGGCCAGGCCTAAAGCCTGGACCCTGGACCTATGAAGCCTCAGCTAAAGGCAGTAATAGTCATTCAGAAATGATCATTGTTTTAGTTAGGGTTTCTATTGCTGCTGTGAGACACCATGATCAAAAAGCACATTGCAGAGGAAAGGGTTTATTTGACTTATACTTCTACGTTGTAGTTTATCATTAAAGGAAGCCAGGACAGGAGTTCTAACAAGGCAGGAACCTACAGGCAGAAGCTGATGTAGAAGCCATGGAGGGGAGCTGCTTACTAGCTTGCTCTCCATGGCTTGCTCAGCCTGCTTTCTTAAAGAACCCAGGACCACCAGCCCATGGATGGCCTACCCACAATGGGCTGAGCCCTCCCCAATGATCATTAATTGAGAAAGTGCCTTACAGATGGATCTCATGGAGGCATTTTCCTCCCTCTGAAGTCTGTGACTATGATGTTTCAATTTCTTTTTTATATTTATTTATTTACTTATTTGCTGTGGCATTTGTGTGCCATGATCTGTATGCAGGGGTCAGAAGGCAGCTTACAAGAGTCAGCTCTGAGCTTGCTTCCACCACATGGGCTCCAGGAACCCATACCAAGTGCTTTACTACCTGATCCATCTTATCAGCCTCTAATCATGTTATTTCCTATGATAAACAATATTACACAGGGGAGAAAAATGAAGGGTCTTAAGAAGAGAGATGACTCAGGATCATCTGGGGTCTGGAGTCACGACAGAGTCCTCATGGTGTTTGCCTATGAACTGAGTCCCAGTGATGCCTGCTGAATATCGGTACCCAGGCCAGACTCTGAGCCCCCACTGTGGTGTCTTCTTATCCACACTTGAACTTAAGTGTAGTGAGTAAGCTGTCCCCCAACAGGGTAAGAACGTGTGTTGTTGCTTTATTTCTCTCTCTCTCTCTCTCTCTCTCTCTCTCTCTCTCTCTCTCTCTGTGTGTGTGTGTGTGTGTGTGTGTGCACTTGTTTTGTGCATGTGTGAGCATGTACTTTGTGTGAGTGCCTATGAATGAGTGCCTATGTGCATGTGGAAGCCCTAAGTTGATGTCAAGAACCATCTTTGATCATTCATGTACCTTGTTTATTAAGGCAGGGTATCTTAACCAAATCCAGAGTTGGCCAGTGTGACTAATCTTGCTAGCTAGCTTGCTCTGTGGATCCCATCTCCACCTTCAAAAACCAGAATTACAGGTGGACATCATACACTGGTTCTGCAGATCCAAACTCAGGTCCTCATACTTTCTACATCAAGTGCTCTAGCCACTAAGCCATCTCCCCAACCCATTTGATGCCTTATTTATCAAGTTTGTGCTGAGATTACAGGTGTGCACTACTATTGTGTGTGTGTGTGTGTGTGTGCATGTGCACGCTTTCGTGCATGAAAGAGAGAGAAAGAGAGAGAATGTCGCAAAGATAGAACCCAGAGCCCCCTCCTAGTCATTTTCTTTTCTTTCTGTCTTCCTTTTTATTTTTCTTCTCAAGACAGAGTGTCTATATATAGCCCAGGCTGGCCTCAAACTCATGAGTCTTCTGCCTCCACTTCCAAGTGCTGGAATGCCAGGCAGTACTCATGCCCAACCCCAGGATCTTTTTAAAAATTCATTTTCAGGCCAGTTGTAGTGGCATGCACTTGTCATACTGGCATTTAGGAGGTAGAATCAGGAAGATAAGGAGTTCAAGGTCATCTTATAGGTACTGTAGTGAGTTCAAGACCAAACTTAACTACTTGAGACAACATCTTTAAAAAAAAAAAAAAGCCAGTGAGATGTCTCACTGGATAAAGGTGATTGTTGCCCAGATAATAGAGTTCATACTGGGCATGGTAGAAAGAAAATAGACTCATACAATGTGTCTTCTCACCCCCAACATGAGTGTCATGGTACACATAATAAAAACTA